TAGTAATATTAATAACAACCTCTAAATATAGATGTAAGGCTGCTGCCTACGTTGAGGCCCCACATTAGTGGAAGGCTTGTGTACTAGGTTCATTCTTTTGAAATGAGGTGACTTTGATATGTTATCTACAACAAAGATATAATTAAAGGGTCCATGTGTTTGCAAAGATATAAAACAATTATTTAGGAAATATTTCAAGCAAATGTTCATTCTCCACTTATTTTGGATCATATATTTTTTTGATATCTATCAAATGATCAATCTTAGTGGTAGACAGTTACTGTGAGGCAATATGGACTATGAAATATATGGTTCTTTGCTGGTGTAAAGCAATTTTATCAATGAAGTTCAACACATAAATTCTTCTCATATGTCAGGGAAAATGGGAAATATCTTTATTTTTCAGTATTTCATGGCATGGTGCTCTGAGAATGCAACTTTGATTTCTGTGATGTACCACTATTTAACCTAGATCTTATCAGTGTCAAAAGTGCAAGTATTGCTGGGCCATCAGCGCAGAATACCTATGTGGTTCGTGGGCACATAATTGGTTGCTTGTTTGGGCTATAGTTTCACAAATACATGTATAGATGAAATGCAGAAAAGGAGGTGGAAGAGAAATGGAGATATCTATAATGGAAAACAAGCGGAGAAACTATAAGGGTGACAGAAAAAAGAGTAGAAGGACAGAACACTGATTAGAATGACCAGCGATGTATGACAATAAGAAGAAAAGTAAAACTTGCCCAGAGTATACTGGTTTGCGAAATTGCCAAGAAGTCGTCGTTGTTTGAATTTGAATAATTCATTATACTATTTCTTAACTTTTGCATTATACTATATATGGAAATTTTATGTTATTTGAAAGGAAATGTTAAAAATTGTCTAACCATTATGTTTTCACAATCCTCCTGACCAAATAATGCTATATATTGCAGGAAAAAAGGCCATATCACATGCTTTTTCTCTTCCTATTCATGGTTTGATGACTTAAATAGCAGCATGGTGGAAGGAATTGGCCATTCAAGCTTTTAGCGACTCCGTTTGATCTTGTGAGCTAGAATGACGCTAGAAGATTTTTTCACTCTAACTGAGATGAGGGATGGCCTTTCGAGTCTCCCTAGGATTGAAGAGCTGCTCTCCATGATTCAGAAACTGAATGATTCTGTTACGAGTAACTTAGGTGATGCAGTAAGACAATGGTCTACAGTTGCAAGTGTTTTAGCAGCTACAGACAATAAGGAATGTGTTAATCAATTTCTCCAGTTGAATGGGCTTGTTTTTCTTAACCAATGGCTTCAAGAAGCACTGAAGCTCCATGCTGATGTTAGTGGTGTTGAAGAGCTGATAAGTTCATTATTGACATTTTTTGAGAGGTTTCCAATTGAGCTTAAACAGATAACTGCCTCTGGAATTGGAGTTACCATTGAACTTCTTCTTGATCACAAAAGCATTCCAATTAAGGAGAAGGCTAGAATTTTGTATGATAAGTGGAATCATGCAAGAAATGATGGTAAAAGTTGCCATGATCAGGAAACAAGTGGGACTTGTCAAAGTGATCAGCTTGAACCTTTTGAGGATGTGCAGATGAATGAAAAAAGTATGGACTTAGTAAATTCAGTTGTTGATATTCCCCCATGCACAGAAAGAACTGGTGAAGGAAAATGTGAAGTGAAATTGGCAGGAACTGAGATCCAGGTTGCTGATGTCACAGTATGTTCAGGCAGTTCCCCTCATGATTCCACCTATAAAGAAAGAGTTATAGCATCACAAAAAGCTATTTCTACATCTTCCAATCCCATCAATCCGAATGCAGTTTCAGCAGAAGTGTGTTCATCGGGGTCATCCCTTGTATCAACCTCTTGTCAGGAGAAGTTAACTGTTATAGAGGGGTCTTCTGTTTCTGTTGCAGCAGGAAAGTCCTCTACTGGCACTGGTTCACAATCTGGTCGGGAAGGAGATACAGATGATCAGCCTGATGCATCATTGTTGAAAAATGTCCCTGATAGCATAAGAGGGATGGATGTGGAAATGAGGGAAGTGAAACCATGCAAATCCAATCAAAGAGAAACTTGCAGTAATTCTTCATCCTTTGTGTTTTCTACTTCTGTGACACCATCAGTGGCTGCTCCAGAGCTGACTAATTCACGCAAGTTGGATTCTAACAATGGTGACTCGTGTGCCTCAAAGGCAATGCTACATGAGCTAAATTCTGGTGCTTTTGACCATGGGAAGGAAAAGTGTTTAATAACAGCCAAGGAGTCCAACACAGCTGCAAATCTCGCTAGTGGTATTCATGAACTTGCCTGTACTGTCAGCAACCTCAGCGATCCAGGTGATCCTCAGTTACCTTGTCAAAGGGAGGAAGCCATGAGTAGTGTCCTTAAAGGCACAGATGGTGAGGTCAATCTTAATATTCGTAAAGGTCATTTCTTGAACTCTCCTGATTTCCTAAAAGTCGTGGGGACCAAGGCAAATAAGGAAATTGGTCGAAAGTCAGATATGAGACTTGAATGTTTGGATGATGCACTAGAGGTTGCAAGGCAAGTCGCTATAGCAGTGGAGCAAGAGGTGGTTGATTATAGAGAGCCTTTTTGCAGCTCTCCTGAGGTCAACTCTGGTGGAACAACTGGTTCTCATAATCCTGATTCTGAAGAAGAAAAGCAGGATCAACCAGTGACCGAGGAAATTGGTGGGAATAGTTCATCTGCTGGAAATGGTCCTTCTGTTACTACATCTACTGAGAAGGGGTCAGAGATCACACAGAACATGAGCCCTGACCAGGAAAACTCTGAGCAAAATATAGAATCACCCAAACCAAAAGTTCCTGCTCAGGAATCAGTTGGTAAGTCTATCGCAGACAGATTCAATTTCGATCTGAATTCAGATATTTGCAGTGATGAACCTGAATGCTCGTTAAAGCCCATTTTGAAAATGCCTATCGGCGTGTCTGCTCCTGTAGCTGTTATTGCTTGTTCAAAAGGAGCTCCAGGATTGCCTGTTACACCTCTCTGTTTCGGAGGTGAAATGGGATGGAAAGGTTCGGCTGCTACCAGTGCTTTTCGGCCAGCATCTCCTCGGAGAACTCCTGATGGTGAAAGGTCATCTTCTGGTTCAAAACCAAAGACAAACTCGCTTGAATTTGATTTGAATGTGGCTGAAAGGGCTGATGAGGTGGGTGATGAACCCATATTGGTGAAGGAGTTGCCTGCTTCCTCTAGTCTGCCATCCGGAGATTCATGTGTGGAAGTTAGTTCGAGAAGAACAGAGAAGCTAAGTTTGGATCTTAATCGCCTTGGAGATGAAGAAACGTCTATGTGTCCATCCTCATCCTTGAAGCTGCATTTCCAGAGTGGAGAGCGGAGCCTGTCTTCAGCTTCATCATCATCTTCCAGGCAGCCTTTTCTTAGAGACTTTGACCTGAATGATAACCCATCTTTCCCCACTATTGGTAATTCTTGCAACTTTGATATGTCATCAACCAAACCCTCTGATTCTTTTGGAGTTCCAACACCCACTGATCCCGTTATCAAAATTATGGGATCAAAAATTGCTGTTGAAAGGAAAGCTACTGACAACCAAGTGCAGCAGTCTTTTCTATCAGTAGGACTGAAGATGGAGCCTCCTGTTGTCGCAAGGCCACTGATGCCTTATACAAACATGCCAACCCCCACTTACGGATATACTGGACTCCCGACTGGGCCTTCCGTGTCAGTCCCCCCAGCATATTATTCACCTGGAAACATTTCTTACATGGTAGACTCCAGAGGTGCAACAGTCATGCCGCATGTTACTGGCTCAGCAGCTCTTGGTCTAACATCTGCCAGGCCACCCTTTCTTATAGGTGCGGCTATGCCCTCAAACATGGCTGGTTTTGGGTCTTTGCAACCTGGTCTTGACTTGAATGGTGGTATGACGTCCGTGGAGGGTGGGATCAGAGAAGGCAGCAGTTTTAGACAATTCTTTTTGCAAGGTCACGGTCGATGGATGGAAGAACAACCGAAGACCGGTGCACAGCCTTCCAGTTCAGACACTACATTGAAGCGGAAAGAGCCAGACTCTGGATGGGAGCCTTATCCGCATGGTTACAAGCAGATGACATCATGGCAATAATTGTGTTTAAAGACCATTAGGGTTGTATCGGGTTATCTAAGGTTAGTTGCTTACCTTTTGTTCCTTTAAGATGGTGGGCCAATTCGACCGAATGGCATTGGCAGGTGGATAAGCGAATAAGGTTATAGATAGTTTTGATGAAAATTTATTGCCAAAATATCGGTACATTTGATTGTTTACATTCCTCCATTATCATTATTTAGTCCATTGCACCCGGTGGAAGCCCCATGCATGCATCTCCTAATGAACGAGATGCTAGTTCTTGTTTTTCATCTCTTTCCCGTTTTATTGGAATCGCTATATCATCTTTGGTTTGAGTTTTATGTATTATTTAGGCTTTGTTGTACATGATAGATTTTTCACATATATATGTATGTATATACACACACACACACCACATTACTACTAAAATTTCTTTGATTGTGTATAATCTGTTAGTGTTGTGCATTTGCCTAATTGTGTATGAGTCTGCAGAATAAAATTGTAGGTTGATGGTTTGAGAGCTCTTTCAGCAAGTCCTATAAGGTAGCCAACCACTTTAGTTGGTAAATATATGATGAGGTAAATAACATAGACAGTGATTTATTTCACATTTTACATGAACACGGAGCAATCTCAATCAAAGCCTGGTCACTCTAAATAATATTCTAACTTTTAATAGTATTTCCTTTTCTATCGAAGTCAGAAATCAAGTCGAACAAATAAACAAACAAAAGAAAAAAAAAAAAGGCATCTTATTTATTTGAACTTGGGATAAATTCCAAAAACATTTTTCGAAATCAGAAACAGCAAAAATGGGAGGCGAGCCTTTTTGTTTTCCGAATCCGAATCCGAACCCTTGGAAACTATTTATTGCAATCACAACCCGATACGTCGCGAGCCGTTAGCCTATTTTAGTTCCGCGGCAGAAAACCCGTGTCACGAATCCGCCGCATCCACTCTCCCGCGGCAACACCCTAACCTTCCAAGGAACCGCTTCCCCTCCCCCCTCCCGTCTTCTCAGCGGGGTATGGCTCCGTCGGTGATGTCGGATTTCTCGTCCTCGGCCACCGCCCGGCTTCTTCCCTTCCGGTGCACTGTCCCTATCAGGGCTTTCCAATTCCAGCCGTCGGTTTCCATCCAACTGACGCCCTTGCGCCTGAACGCGTCTCGATCGACCTTGTCGCGGTGCTGTAGTTCATCTGCTGTCGCCGCAGGTATGCGTCTGGTGTTTTTTCCTGTCGTATGCAGCTTTGTCTGGTACCGAATTGCTCAGCTGTGATGCCGATCAAAGTTTCATATACTTTTTCTTGGTTCCTTCTTTGATCAGTCTCTTGGGCCATTCAGAACCTTTTGGGGTTGGTTATTCATCTGTACGTCATGATGGTTTATGCTTTCCGTCTTTCGTTAGTAGAATAACCATGATATTGGTCTATATATATATATATATATATATATATAT